TAGTAGAAATATTTGTAAATGTGTATCTGATAAAAGACATATAAAAGAATGCGTAAAGAATTCTTTCAATTCAATCATAAAAAGGGAAGCTATTTTTTTTTAAATGAGCAAAAGCTTGAACAGACACTTCACCAGAGATAAAGTGTCTATTCAAAAAGCATATGGAAAGCTGCACATCATCAGTATCAGGAAAATGCAAATTAAAAGCACAGTGAGATACCCCAGTAGTACAGCTAATATTAAAAAAGACTGATAATACTAAATGGTGGTAAGGATGTGGAGTAACTGCAATTCTTATACATTGTTAGCAAGGATGCAAAATGGTACAGACACTTTGGAAAACTATTTGGAAGTTTCTTATAAAGTGAAACATTACTATTAGCATACAGCCAAGCAATCTCACTCCTAGCGTGACTTCTGAAGAAAGATGAAAACATACGCCTAAACAAAACATATGTGAATGTCCACAGCAACTTTATGTATAATAGCCAAAAACTGGAAGCAACTCAAATGTCCACTTGCTGAACAGATAAACTGTGGAATATCCAAACAGAGGAAAACTACCCAGCAATAAAAACAACCAAATTACTAATGCACACAACAACACTGATGAATCTGGAAAGGAAAATACTAAGTGAAAGAAGCCAGGCACAAAACAGTACATATGATTCCATTTACTGAAATTCTAGAAAAGGCAATAGCATAGTGCCAGAACACAGATCAGTGGTTACCACGGACTGGGGTTGGAGGAAAGGGATTAACTGCAAAAGATATTATGAAACTTTTTCAGGTAATGGAAATGTTATCTATCTTGATTGAAATGGCAGTTACGCAACTGTATACATTTATTAAAACCCAAATTTAAAATTGATGAAATTTAGTGTGTGTAAACATTATTAGAAAATCATGTACTTTCCTGTATTGGAAAAGTTAAATTATCTACCCACATTAAAGTGATTTGAAAACCATGAAATGTATAAGAAATCCTACAATCTGAAATACACAGAAAATTGGGAAGAGCCTGATGAATTAAAGAAGGCTAAAACCCCCCAGAAGCCTCCTCGAAAGAGAGGTGAAAATGTGCTAACTGATGAAGAAATTGACAGGAATGAAGCCTGGGGACTGGGGCCAAATTGGTCCTGTCTTACTCCATCCATCTATTTTCCCCCTTTATTCTGAAGCAGTAGCAGAGACACAGGTAAGTTCCTTTGGAAAATAGGCACAACTTCTTAAGTTGTTAAAAAGACAGAAGACTCATGATTTTAAAGTAATCCTAGCCAAATAGAAGTTCTTAAAGTAGTTAACTTTAAAGGAGTTATACTGGCAGGAAAACATCTAGGCTGGTAAAAGGGGTCTGTGCTGTCTCAACTGCTAAGAAATCCTCAGATTTTATACCTATACTCATATGCAGTGGGCTACTAAAGCAGCAGAGCTTCCTGCAGGGGATTCCTCTGCAATGTTCCTCAGAGGTGACTCAGGAGAA